TCCTACTGCAAACTACGATCATCACACACCACACACACACACACACACACACACACACACAATACAAAGAAAAAAAAAGCCCACCGCAATCCATCTCCTCTTCACTCACCTCCCTCCCTCTTTGCACCCGCTTCTACACCCTCCCCTCCCCTTTCTTCCCCCATCCCCTCCCCGATCTTTCCCCCTCTTTTCACGGACAAAATTGAATTAAAAATATTGATCTACCCCGGCTATGTACAAACTAGACCGTTCTGCACTCATCCCTCTCTGTGGAATGGGTTGTATAAATGCATGCCAACATGGCGTGTATCAGCCACTGGTGGCCAGTTTGGTCATTTTGGTTGTCGGTTTGATATAACCCGGGTAGTAACGGTCGTGTTTTATATCTGGTTTAGATATACGTAATAATATTATAGGCAGACGAAAGGAAAACTTTCCACCCTAAATACATGTGGTAAAAGTAGTAAATGTTGACAAGTGGTGGGTTATACGAATATCTTCATTTAGATATACCTCCGACATGTTTTCAAGCTATGTACATAATCTCTGCCTTCTCTCCACTCTTCTTCATTCCATCCTTGTGCCATATTATGTGAATAAGACGCATTTAATTGTCAAAGGAACATTGAATTAATCCTATGATAGCTCGTCCGTCAATTCTGACGATGACCAATTCATTCGTAGACGAGGACATTTCTCCATAGAAATGAAGGTGTTTGAAGAATGAAAGATTAAGATGACTTGTGACTTCTGCTGTGGCAGAGAAAAGTTTGCCAAATTTTTAACATTTAAAAGCTTCATTCCTGCCTGTGGGTGTGCGCATGCGGTGGGCTTCTCTCTTGTTTTCAGCAGCATTTCTTATTCGTGAAGCTTCAAAAGATTTGCTGCCCATTGTGACTGCTGCCATGCTCACCAACTGAGCCAGTCAGGAGCTTGGCTCTCCCACTAATAAAGCACATAATATGCAAACAATAAATATTTTGTGAATTAAGGAGAACATATCAAATTTCTAACAAGATTCTCATCGCATCATTCTTTTTTTAAATCAAGATTTGACCATAGGAATCCTCTTCTTCCGAATTTAAGTTAGAAAATGATGAACATTAGTCTATTAGTCTATAAAACAAAACACTCCCGATCCT